TAGAGCGCGCTGCAGTTCCCCTTTTCACCACAGATTTACGTTGCAAAATTGTGGGGCACTGTTGAGCTCGGGAGGTCTAAGGCAACATCTGCCCCGCTTAGAATCATAGGCCTACATGCCTGCTAAAGCCGTGCGCGGGATTTTAAAGGGGTCATATGATGCTTTTTAAAAGATCATTATTTTACACTAGTCGGATCGTGTTACATGTTTCACGAGTGAGGAAGGCTTTTGCACGTTTTTAGAGGATGACAAAATTGGTGTAATTCTTTGGAATTCTCACTGTACTGCAGTATGAACTTTGGAACACTATTCAAATAGTTCTGCTTAAACCGCAGGATAAAGTCGAACAATCACGATGGCGGAGCCTCATAGTGAGTGAACTATTTATTAAGGCCTAATTATTTATTTAGCGAAATCCACCGACAATAGTATTTTAATACGTTTTCCTTTAAGGGTAGCCTAAATCCCGGATTCCGATCGAAATTCGGAATATTGTTTCTGTTCGTAGGCTACTTCGTACGTTTCCGTCATTTAAGTTTTAGCTTCTTCACAAAAGTAGGCTACGTTGCTCGGGAAGGGCCACGTCCACGTCATATTAACTTATGGGGACAGGGATCTACAAAATTATTTATAGGGTGGCAAGATTAACAAAATATCAATATCCACGACACCTATAAATGTTTCATGATGTTTCATTAGCTTGTAAGAGTAGGTCTCTCATTAGTTGGCCTGCATGGAAGAAGTTATTTTATTAATATTATGTAGACCACTTGAATGATAGGCCTATATAAAACACGTTTTAGTGCATCAAGTTTATGAGCAACAAACGCTTGAATTTGATAACTTTAGAATGAAATGCCATAATTTCAAAGCACTGAGGTGTTTAAATCTCCGATATTACCACAGTGACCGTACTGCACTTTAATCTATCTATCTATCTATCTAACTGTAATCTATCTATCTATCTATCCTGAACTTTAAACCATTTTACATTTTAAGATAAGATTTTGTCAGCAGTGACCGTACTGCACTTTAATCTATCTATCTATCTATCTAACTGTAATCTATCTATCTGTCTGTATGTCTATCTATCTATCTAACTGTTATCTATCTATCCTGAACTTTAAACCATTTTACATTTTAAGATAAGATTTTGTCAAGCCAACAAAGTTTGTCTTACAAATGTTTCAATCTAGTAGATGAAGATTACATTCTTACCTAACTCTGCTGTTAATTTCCATTATCAGGATCTTCTTAATATTGATAAATTTTTTTAAAAAGATCTGTGTTCCTGATGAAAGTGGAGGGGACAGTTAATGTCAGTCAGAGAATCTGCGCACCACAATGAAATAGATACTCGACAAAGGGCAAAATAAATGAGGAGAAATATTTTGGAAAATAATACAGCAATCCTAGACATCCTATTCAGAAGCGCGGCTGCTTATAAGCAGTACAGTAACAACTGCCTACATTTGTAATTTATACTGGGATAATTCTGAGGTAGCAACCGCCCGTGCACAGACCTCCGGAGGGGCAGGGGAGAAATCTCGAGCCCATCTTTATCTCATTACAGTCATAGTTATTTTTCTTTGGATAAGAATGGCAAATGCACGCACAGTGGCCTTTAAATAGAGACCTCATAATACAGATTATGAGGTCTCTACCAGAATAATAAGCACTGGATACTAAATGGTCTCTACTAAATCAACATCATATCAAATTGTATGTGTAATTATTCCAACTGACATGAGCTCTAACCAATTCCTTTCATGCAGAGCCAGACACAACGATAAAATCTGAGTTTTCTTTTCGTGTAAGTGATCTAAGTACATTTTCTACAATGTGTGTTTGTTACAATGAGACTTCAAAGCTCTTTATTGAATATTGTGTGAGTCGGTTTACTTTATGTTCATGAACTGTTTAACACTCGTCATTCTCCCTTTATTAAGAGTTTAAAATTGGCAACGTCTAGGATGCGTGATGTAGCCTATCTCGAAGGTAGGCTCATATTCTTTCTGTAAAATATGAGATCTCTACTTTGACTGCTGATGAACAGTATAGTTTGTTGCTGTGTTTGTGTCTGCATGAAGAAACTCAGTGTCCTAAAATTACTATAGATTATGAGGTCTCTACCAGAATAATAATAATAAAGGGTAAATGAAGTGTTGGGCACTAAACTGTTTCTACAAAATCAACATCAGATCAAATTGTATACTTGTGTTCTGAATCCAGCTGACATGAGCTCTAACCAGTTCTTTTCAATTAGGGCCAGACACAACGATGGAACCTCAGTCACCTGTACGTGTAGTAAGTGACAAGAAATTTTCTATAGTGTGTGTTTGTTATAATAAGACCATGGTGCACTAAGAAGGACATGAACGCTCTTTATTTTTACCTAATGTTGTGTGCGTCTGTTTACTTCATGTCCATAAACTGCTCAAACACTCATTGATTCTCTCTTTATTAAGAGGCGAGTTTTCGCACAGTCTATGGGCTTTGAAAGACTCCCCGTAACCGAAGGTAGGCTAATATTTTGATCTTTTAATGTGAGAGCACTACGTTGGTTGCTGATGAACATTGTAATTAGCTGCTTTGTTTGTGTCTGCATGAAGGAACTCAGTGTTTTAAAAGGACTTCAGATCATGAGATCGCTGCCAGAATAATAAGCGTTGGGCACTAAACTGTTTCTACTAATTCAACATAATATCAAATTGTACTTGTGCCCTTATTCCAGCTGACATGAGCTCTAGTTCTTTTCAATCAGGGCCAGACACAATGATGGAACCTCAGTCATATCATGTAAGTGATGAGGAATTTTCTATAATGTGTGTTTGTTATAATGAGAGCATGGTGAACTAAAAAGGACTTGAAAACTTTTTATTTTGAGCTAATGTTGTGTGCGTCTCATGTTAATGAACTGTTAACACTCATCATTCTTTCTTTATTAAGTGGCCAAGTTACTCAGTGCTTAAGTGGCATGATTGGACTGAAAGACTCAGAGAAAGAGACCCAGGTAGGCTCATATTCTGACAGTTTAATATGAGAGCTCTACTTTGATTGGTCTTGAAATAAATCACCAACTGAATATCTTAAAAACACTAAAAGAGTTTAAATCAATAATTTAAGTGGTGGTGAACTGTTTTCTTTTTTTAAGACAGAAGTGTAATTTGAATCTTGACCAAGCAGTTCAAGTTATAGTTCAGCTTAATGAGTAATTCAGTGCAATAAGATTCTGCAACTTCAGCTTGGTTTAAAAGCATTTGTCTGTTCTGTTGTCTGTTCAGTGCGTTTAAACAAGACATTTCATCTCAGGGTAACTGTATTATGTGGTTTTTCTCAATTGAATTTAACATTTTGTATTGTGAGGCTAAAGAATGTTTTATGTTTTCCTCTAGCATGGCAGGAGATGGTATTTCAGTATAAGGAGTCAATCAAACGGAAATATGAGCATATGAATGAGAGGAGTTTCCTCTCTGGTGAAAGAGTCTCACTGGCTGCCCTCTACACTGAACCTGTGATTATTCAGAAAAATAAAAAAGGCAGTTTTCGGAATATCAGTGTGGAGGAGTTGTTTAATAAGTCAGACATACATCTGCGTTATCCAAGTAATGTATCCAACATTCTCCAAGGAAATTCTGGTAGTGGAAAATCTTTCTTAGTGCAAAAGATTATTTTGGACTGGGCATTTGAACAACATTACCTTAAAGAATTTGATCTAGTTTTCTGTCTGAGGTGTGAAGAGCTGAAGTGTATTTCTGAGGAGATGAACTTGATTGAGCTCCTGAGCTGGAATTGTGGTTTATCGTCAGATCAGATTTCAGAGATGTTACAGAACTCATCACAGAGAGTGCTCTTCATCATTGACGGACTTGATGATCTTGATGAGCTTAGATTCATGTGTGATGAATTTTGCATATCATCCAAATTCCAGAGAGCCCCACCTGAGGTCATTGTTTGTTCCTTGCTTCGTCAACAAATCCTGCACAGATATGTTTTGCTTATCACTACTAGAACTGAGGTCTCAAAGAGGATATTGCTTATAGGACAACAACGTTTCTCTAGGATAGTAGGTTTCTCTGAGAAGGGGGTGGAGGAGTACTTCCAGAAGTTCTTCCAGAATGAGGAACTCTTCAGGAAAGCCTATGAATGTGTGAGAGTAAATGAAACTCTCATCACTGCCTGCTCCATCCCTGTCATCTGCTGGATCATCTGCATGGTTATGCGAGAGAGGTTCAGTAATTGTGCAGATATGATGAGCGGACTGGAAACCACCACCTCTATCTACGTTGACTTTGTGTCCACTCTACTGGAGCATCACTGCCAGGGTTTGAGTCAGTGTGTCCCGAGCCTGCTGAGGAGTCTGGGTCAGCTGGCAGAAAGAGGGATGCTGGAACAACAAGTCTTGTTTGATGAAAAAACTGTTTATGACACAATTTCAGACCCTGCTGGCAATCCATTCCTGCGCAAGTTCCTCTTAAAGAGAAAAATCCACCAGGAGACAATGTTCAGTTTCATGCATCTCAGCTTTCAGGAGTTCTTCACTGCTCTCTACTATGTCCTTCTGGATGAAGAAGAGTCTCAGAGGAAAGTGAGAGAGCTGCTTCACACTGTAGAGAGAGGATGGGCTTTGTCCTGTTGGTCTGATAGAGACTTTTCGAAGGCAAATTTAGAAATAAGCATGTCAAAGCTGCTGCAGCCTGTGATTCTGTTCCTCTGTGGTCTCTGTAAGAAAGAATGGATCTCCTCATTCATTGAAAAGCATAACATGACCGTCTCTGTCAACCTAGAAACCCAGCTTAAGGAATGGATCAATCAGTGTTCACAGAGATATCAAAATGAACACGTGCTATTCATTCTCCATTGTCTCTATGAGCTTCATGAGAAGAGCTTCATTGGAAAAGTTTTGGAACAGTTGGCTTCAATAGATCTGTCAAATATTCTACTGAAAAATGCGGACTGCTGGATGCTGCGGTTTTGTTTTCAGAACTGTGTTAACATTGGCAAACTGAGACTCAGTTTAACATCTGACAATCTGAAGATTCTTCAGTCTGCACTGTGCACTTGTGAAGAGTTGTGGTGAGCAAAGATCAGACTCTCTATATGTGTGAGACTTTAAAAATGCTCTTGAATTTATACCAACTGTACTATGCTAAAATACATTCAATTTTATGTGAGCTCTAATCTTGACGTCAAATTATTATATCTGATATCTGAATGTTAATATGTTCTGTTCATTTTAAAGGTTGAAAGTGGATCACATTACAGATGATACTGGGGATTTGATCTCAGCTCTTGGTGAAGGAAAGATTGTGAAAGAACTGATGTAATGGATATTTAATTCTGAACTTAGTCATATCTATTACTGCTATGGACTCTATGCATGGAGCACAGCCTACACATTTGTGCTAAAATATCAACCAGTGCCTGTGCTTCTGGTGATATTTTTAGATCAAGCAAAGTATTAGTCTTCTCTTTGAAATCGAATTCTTTAACCTTTCAGTGCCATTGTCAGTTAACTGGATCATCAGGTCTTCAACTCCACATTGATCTCTCTTTGCCTGATATTTATCAGAAACTAAGAAATTACACATAATGACGGTTATTTATTTTGGGGACAAAAACGATTCCCATTTATAATTTGCTCATACTATTATATGTTTAAATATAGGATCACTCTGTCAACGAATCCAACTTCAGTAATACTATGACAATTCACCCCACATTTGACATGCAGCCACAGCTGCCGTTAACTCATTTGTCAAATGTAATTACATAATATACAAATATTATACATATAAGGAAAAGTTTTAGTTAGAGGCTTGTTAGCTTCTCAGCTGTAGCTGAATGAAATGACAGCCTTCTGTCATACAAAAATAGATAGCGTTGTTTATAGCCTTTTCTAGAAAGTCTTGTTTTCATATAATATCATTAAAAAAAAAACTTTTTTTCACTGCACCAGATTTTACTGACTTGATAGAGACAAAATGAAGAAGTTACCATGCAAAGAGTCCATTACTTGTACAGTAAAATAATACATTTATTGTAATTGGCAGAATACAGGATCAAAAATCTTCAAAAGCTTCTCACAAAAAAAGGATCAAAAGCTTCTGCCAAGAGATTATTGCATCAGTTAAAGATGAAGACGTCATGTAAGAAACTCTAATCATAAAAAAATGACTGCTTAATTTTTGCTACTAATATAAAAGTAAAGTCTCTAAACTTTACTTTTTTAGGCTCTGTTTTCGGTTTTCAGTTTCCAGCTCTAAAATAAGACCATCATCGTTAATCTCAGAATTAACTCTCACCTGTTCACGCCCAGAGGTTTCCACTGTCAACTGGAGAATCTTCCTGCAGAAACTCCAGAGGTTACCCAGGTCTGTGAAGAAGAGAGTGTGAATTGTGCAAGTGTGAATTACCTGCATCTTTTTAGCTTCCTCTCTACTAATAATAAAGCCGTGAGTTTAATTACTTTGAAAAGCCATCTTGATGCTGAGAAATATAATGTAGCTTTTCAGTTGCAAAGCTACTTTATTAAAAGGATATTCAGACAGACCATGGTATAAATTATACATGTTAAACTACAGTATGTCATTATACTATATATTATTATATGAACACTATATACTGTATGTTATAATATATTTACACAGCTCTCAAGTTTCATCAGCGGAGGGGTTTTTCCTTCTGGATGTCCTGCACTCTGTGTCTGGTTTAAAGAAAGTCCATTTGCAGATAGACGAATTGACTGTCGGATGGATTCCCACAATCCTCTCGCTTGTCCAGGCCTTTCCCAGTCTGAACGAACTCCGGTAAGAATAAAGATCTGCTCTTTTAAGCATGTATTATATGGATTTGTATATGCTTGTGAATATAAAAATTATTTTAAAATTGTTTTCAGAAACATATGTAGCTAAATGTTTTTTTCCATGCCAGGACAAATTCCGCAGTTTCCTTTATCCCATTTAACATAAAACAGTCTCTGGTGGAATCACTGACGCAGACAGGTTGGACCCTGACTGTGTAAGTATGCATAAAATATTAATATTAAAATATATTACTAAAATTGATGTCTTTGAAAATACTTACAGTAATCAATGTTTTCTCCTCTAGCTGGAGGAAGTCAGTGTTGATTGAGCGAGACAGGAAGAGTTTCACCGAGGAGGACTTGAAGACAATAAAGACAGAAAATACAGAGAGTAAAAGTAAGCAAATTTTATACAATCCCTAAAGTGAAAAGAAAAATGTGGTCTCAGTCAGATTTTTTGTTTAGCCAATCAAAAGACTTTGAGGCACTTTATGCCTGTCAGTCATTTTGTAGAGAGCATCATTTTGTTGGTTTGTTGTGAGAGAACGCTGTTTTACTACCATTGCTATTGACAACTATACCTATACAAAGTCAAACATGTGTAAAGCTGAGTTTGCAGTTCAGTTTTATTTGTTATTTTAATTAAACATGAAATTGTGCTGCTATTGTTAAGCTCCATCTCTGGTTACAATAGTCTCCAAGCATCTCTGTATGCATAGGCGATTTTACTGTGGATGCTGAAGGTGCGTTTGCACTCCCTACTGTTGGCCTTTGATAATGACAAAAATATAAAATGTTTAAGTTAAAATTTATAAAAATATAATTTTAAGTCAACATTTCATTATTAAAATTGTGTTTGTATTTAATGACCTTTAAACTCACATTAGAATGTTTCAAAAACGTCTAGAACATCTAACATTGCTTAAAGTACCTTTAACTTTATATGAATTGTTTACATAGACAAAGGCCTCTTTAAGTCAAACAAGCAATTGTGTTTTTTGAGTCAGAATTGTCATTAACATTAACTATTCAATTGAAGGCCTATTAAGTGCAGTCTAATTCGGTGCTTGGCAAATATTAATTTGCTTTTCATTGTTTCTTTTTAATTTTACTTTCAGTATTATTATTATTATTATATATTTCTTCAGTTTTATATTAAATGGCTTGGTTTTTAGCCACAGAGCTCAATAACAAGCTTTCTGGCTGTGAAAGTTTGAAACTCATGAGTCTAATGATTTGTGTCTTACTCTTCATTAGGAGCTGAATCATCTTCAGGACAATCAGTGAGTTGCAAATGTCATGTATTATTTCTGTCATCACGTTCAGAATAAGAGGATCATTCCTTTCTTATTTCAGTCCTCAGGTTATGCAGAAGTGTTCACACCTGAATGTGTTCAGCAAGATGATGAGGACAAACACAAGACTATATACAGGTATGGAACACTTATGTTTTTTTGTAAGAAGGTAAGGTGTTGGATTTCTGAGCTTAAAAGTTCAAATGAATTAAAATATGTCTATTATTGTAACACTTCATAACTATCACATCCTTACATACAATGGCTCTATTATTATTTTTCAGATGAACATTTCTCATATCCAGCTTTTGTTAACCTTTGCATATATTCATGTCTGCTTGTTCCATTGTTGCTGATTGTTTTGCCTGTGTATTGTTTTTTTTTTTTATCTTTTGCTTCAGTACTCTAAACTTCTTGCTTGGGAAAATTGATGTTGTTGTTTGGATTTGTTTGCATGAATTATTCCAAAATCTTGATTCAAACATCCCAAATCTTTTTTTTTTTCTTCTTTTTTTTTTGCATGATCTCCAGTGTTATCACATAATAAAATATGCAGGCCATTATGATTTAATAAAATAAAAATATTCCGTCTTCCAGGTTTGTGTGTCCACATGCTGGTCAGTTTCAGTGCAGTCTGACCAGCCTTGTGTTTGTGATGGAGGGTGAAGGAGAGGTGCTGTATAACATTGTCTCATGGGATCCTGGTATGGATCAGTTGCGGCCTGCAGGACCCTTGTACAACATTGACTGTTCTGCAGGTTCAGTCTCACAACTACACTTTCAACACTGTGTGATATTCTCTGGTATGTTTATTTCTGCATCCTAAATATGAATGTGTTTCACAGTGATTGACTTGACCAGTTGTATAGAATTTATGGAACGGTGACTGATAATTTACATATCAAATTACTTAAGTGTAAATAATATGTATGTCAATAATTAGCAAGAAGTGTGATGACAGATCTTAATGATTACATAAATGGCTCATTTCCACTGAGCGGTACGGTTCAGTTCAGTACAGTACAGTAGAGTACATAAATATTTCGGGTTCCATTGTCAGAAGTTGCGAATGGTACCAAAATAGCAAACCATACCGTACCACTTTTTGGGACTCTTCCTTTGGGGTATCTAGCACAGTACTCCGATACCTAAAGGGTGGAGTTAGACTCACTTCAGAAAGCTGATTGGTTGACAGAGAATCATTACTTGCGCATGCTACAAGGGGAATGAAGCGTCTCCTTCACTCGTTCCGCCATGCTGGATCAGTGTGTACCATCCCGAATCGTACCATACTGTACTGTACTGAAACGAACCGCTCGGTGGAAACGAACCATAAGAGCACTTAATGTCAAAATGTTGGTCACTGTGTAATTAGAAAACAATACCTTTTATTTTACCCAAGAACAAAATTCTTAAATGTTTTTTGCAGAAGAAAATAAGGACTGTTTGGCTGTAGCACATTTCACTGGTGGTAATGTAGAAATAATACAGCCACTCAAAGTGTCAGAAACTCATGTGATCATTGACATCAGAGACCTCAGCAATTTTGGGCTCATCTGGATTAAAACAATATTTGGCTTCCCCATTAATGGCCAGGTTTTGCTCTTTCTTCGACCTGTAACTGTTGAGCAGAAAATACTTACTGTCCACTTGCTTCCAGGGAATGTTCCAGTATCAGAGGTACTACTATCTGAATGCATTGTTCTTTTTTTTCCTATGTGCTTTCAAATTTAAAAGAGTATTAAATAAGAGTATAAAATAAAAACCTGTATGTTTCAAAGCTTGAACACATTGAGCATATTTGTATATATACATTATTACTGCTTTTGTATATTATCCCCCCCCCCCCCCCCCCCCCCCCCCCCCCCCCCCCCCCCCCCCCCCCCCCCCCCCCCC